TGTGTGTGTGTGTGTGATGGTCATTAGATGTTGTTGCTGGTCAGTCGGTGTGTTTGCATGATGATTTAAATGTTATCATTCGCCTTGTCCCAAGAGTCATTTTTGTCCCTACAACCCAAATAATTCCTTGGAATAGCTCGAAATATCATGTTAATAGCGTAATTTTACATTTACCTAATTCACAGAGTGCCATCTATTGTTGATGCTGTGGACGTTTCAAAATGGAATTCACATGCTCCTCAGAGTGTCATATATTGAAGACTGCTACCATAATCTTAACACTAATTGTTATGCATCCTGATATTTCTGTGTTCAGGATGCCAAATATACAACTCATATATGGTCAAACTGTTAGGGAAATTTTGGTTGCATAAATAATATTTTGTGTTTTCTGCCTCAATCCAAAACTCGTATTATAGTTCTACGTCCTTTCTATTAAGAAATCGATTTTTGCTATTACATCGTTTAATTAAGTACCGTATATCAAACGCAGTTTCAAAGGACGAAATTGTAATAATGAATTTTGTAATTTTTCTTGGCATTATCAAATGGTCTGTATCGTGTAGATGTCAAGAAACATGTTTGAAGATAAATTGAATGTTGATATCCAATATCAAAATGAGGTATTCTAAAACTAAACATGTAGTGACTCTAATAACAAGAACATGGAGTCGTTGGATGCTTTGAGGAAACGACATCACCAAAAATCAATTTATCTCAGAAGAATTAAATGAAGAAACCCAAAAATATTTTACCTAAATTTAGCAATCTTACGTATTTAAGAATTAGTAAAATCGATTGGCATTTGCAAAAAAGGGTGTTTAACAAGCTGCAAAACTTTTCATTGTAATAGGTTGAGTAATATTTCCTTAATTAATCATAAACAACGAATCGAAATTAGAAACTTTAGGCTTATATAGTTCGTAAAATAAAATAAACAAGGGACTAATAGAAAAATTATTTCAACCACGAAGTGTCTTTCTCAGTGACAAAAACTACTTTCTATGCCAGCTATACAAAACTAATGTCATTTTCTTGACTTAAAAGACTCGTCAGTCAATCTAACGGCATGGCATATGTTTACTGGAAACTGTTGTAATCAACTTGACATTTGTTAGATGGGGTTATTTCTCTCTGAATATCGCAATGATGGCAGTATTCAGCTCTAATTGAAGCCTAATTGGATAGCATAAAGGTACATCAAGATAGTAATTGATTTTAATGGCGTATTTGAATTTATTATAATGAATGACGAAAGGTTATCTTTAGGATGTGTTTGTAAAGCTTGTGTGTCAATTCAATTATTATTTAATTTATAACGGGATAAATAAAAAGTAAATCAACAAAGTAGGTCCTAATTAATGGTTGACGGCGGCAACTTTCAGCAGATAAGTATTTATTATAAACAATAATCAATTTACCCAATATGTATATGCACGATATATTTTAATCTAATAACCATAGCGTTATAAATGTACCGTAGTATCCATTGTCCATGCAAAAAAAGTCGCCACATTTTTCACACTCCTAATATAAGATACACAAAATGATGTGTATATTATAAGGTGAATTTGTTCAGATAGACACAATTACATTGAGTTTATATCAGGATTGCGTAACAAAGTATATGCTGCCCATATAAGGTTGATCTTAAAGCGCTAATAATTTCTAATGGTCTTGTAAAATATTTCCATTACTTTTTGATATTCATTCGCAAGATTGTTATAGAAAATATCAAACTTAATTAACAAAGTTTCTTTTTAAATTTTTTATAGGAGAGAATTTCCGCAACTGCGCCATGCCATTGTACGTCTAATCCCTCATAGAGCACATAGCTATACACACCAGACAATATCAATATCTTGTCAGAGAAAGAGATGATGCAAGCGTTTTAATTATTGAAACAAAATAAAGACGAATATATTCCGTTTGAAGAAAACCGCATATTGTCCACAGTGATAGAGTCTTATTAAGTAAATCTAAGAGATTATGAGCGGATTTTAATACCCTATGCAGTCTGACGTTTCCTTGAAATATATATCATAACCATCAAAATCTTAGAAAGACTTTCAAAAATCAAACTTTGTGAACAAAATTATAAATGATAAGAGAAACTTGCATGTGGAACGTATTTTGCACGACTGACTATTCCTCGTTTATTGTGAGATGTAAGTACACACTTGAAATCTCTGATGTTTTATCCGGCCTTGACATTGGCAAATGGATGTGGTAATCCCTTTAACTCATGGGGAATTAGTCCATCTTCTATTGGAATATTGTACTGTAATCCAATTAAGGACTATGATAATGATCAATTTGAGCTCATGTTACCATCAACACGTTTTAGAATATTTTATTGATTTTCAATAAAAATTTTCATACACTTCTTGGCTTAAAGTCTTTTTCGTCAGACCATGTCATGTAAATCGAAACTGCATTAGATGTACATATCTTAAGTTTCCAAGTTGTCTAAATTTTCTTTTCACGGATAAATCACACTAGGAATCCTGTCATTTCTTGAGAATAATGACTAACCGCAGAGATCAACTTCGCAGGATTTACGATAAGTAAAGCAGCAGATACAAAACATTCACAGTTTAGATTCATACGAAACTTATTTAAAAAAAAACGCAAACTGCAAGGATGATATTGGTGTGTTTTAATGTTCAAAAGCAACTATTTGGCCAGTTTGAGACAAAAGGCGTTGCGTGATGAAACTGAGTATTTATTTAGATAAAGACAATATGAGAAAAGGAGCTGCATATAACAAAAGTATCAAATGATATAATCACGTGATGTGAGATAATCTTTAATTAAGTAGCCTACTTAGCCTAAAGTTCTGGTTTAGCTTAGCTTGGTTTAGTTTAGCTTAGTGTCGGTATGTAATTATGAAAAATTTTAATGAGGTTAAAATAATATAAGTTCTTGGGATGAAATATAGGAATGGAACATAAATAATTGTATTACTCCACATTAGAGAATGCTTTGGTATGAGACATTATCGTACAGATCATCAGTAATGAAAGCGCTGAAACTAGAGAAAGACTGGCACCATATATGTAATAAAGGCGTTAAAACTAGAGAAATACTGGAACACCATCTGTAATAAAGGCGTTGAAACTAGAGAAATACTTGCACACCATCTGTCATGAAAGCATAAAAACTATATAAATACTGGCAGATGATCTGTAAAAAACTCATCAAAACAAAAGAGATACTGGCACATCATTTGTAATAAAGGTATTAAAAAACTAGAGAAATACGTGCATATGAGTATAAAGGTATTATAATTAGAGAAATACGGGTATGTTATCTGTAATAAAGACATTAAAACTCGAGACGTACGTGAATATGATCTGTGATAAAGATATTACAACTAGATAAATACTGGCACATTATCTGTAATAAAAGGCATTTAAACTAGAAAGATACTGATAGGCCATATGCAATAAAGTTAAACGCAATTAGGCTGGTCACGGATTATCAATGTCTTTCTGCTTTTAATCGTAAGGTGAACTGAAGCGTATGAAATCCATTTTGGTGCAGATTCTTGTTCACAAGGTGTTTGTAAATCTTGTGTATATCAGCCTCTTGTTTTCCTTAATAAAAGAAATTTTGTATGTGTTAGTACTCTCGGCATTTGTTTAACCTGGATAATGTTCTTAGTAACAAGATTAATTTCAAATTATCAAGATATGGAATACATTCGATCATAACAATCATGAGTTCTATCTCCTTGGTTGCTATTTATAACTTAACAACAGCTAGTACAGAAAGATGATGATGTGTACAACAATTAAGTAGCAGAGGGTTGTAGTAACGGTTGCTTTATAATATTGTACTGACATATGGAATCTTCCAAGTGAAGCTGTGTTTCTAAGAAACGTCTCTCATTTACATCTCTATTAATTTTATGTAACTAACACATCTTGTTTTATTTTTATCCCCAGTGATTCCTTTCTCTTTCTCCGTTAGTTTTGTCACTTGATATCAACATTATCTAAATAAACCGTTGTTTTAATGATGGTAGTTTGATCTTTCATCACATTCGTCAAATGATGGGCTTCGATTGGCAGGAAACTTCATATCAAATTTAAAAATCAGATCTCACTATGATCAGCGATTGTCCTTCTAATTATAATAAACATCGCAGCGGCTGTGTCTGGAAAGGTGATTAAATAACGTTAGTTTAAATATTGAATAAATTCGCTGCGTTTAAAACACAAGTCATACGATCCGAAGTACTTATTCACGCCAAACTAACATTCTTAACAAGACATCGTGTATAAAACCAAGCAATGAAGAATTCCTTATTCAAAGATACCATGATAGGCACATGATAAATCCACAATGTAATCATTACTGTTTGAACCATACACATGCAATTATTCTGTACAATTTTTACCGTACCCATGCAATTAATCTGTACAATTTTTCCCACACATACAATTGATCTGTACAATCTTTACCACAAACATGTACTTAATCTGTACAATCTTTACCATATATACAATTAATTTGTAGTCTTTATCTCACATATATAATTAATCAGTTCAATATTTACCATACACATGCAATTAATCTGTACAATCTTAACCGCACACACGCAACTAATCATTGCAATCGTTACCACACATATGTAATTATTCTCTATAATTTTTACCACGCACATGCACTTAATCTGTACAATCTTTACCATACAGATGCAATTAAGCAGTACATTTTTTACCTCACACATGCAATTAATCATTAGAATCTTTACGGCACATATGCAATTAATCTGTACAATCTTTACCACACACATGAAATTAATCTGTACAATCTTAACCGCACACACGCAATTAATCATAACTATCGTTACCACACATGCAATTATTCTCTATAATCTTTACCACTCACATGAACAAAATCTTTATAATTTTTACCATGCAAATGCAATTAAGCAGTACAGTCTTTACCTCACACATGCAGTTAATCTGTACAATACTTACCACACACATTGCTCCGGTGGCCGAGTAGTTATAGCTTCCGCCTCAAATGTGGGTGGTCGTGGGTTCGATCCCAGACCTAGTCATACCAAAGACTTATAACAATGGTACTAACAGCTGCCTCGCATGGTGCTCAGCATAAAGAGGCTAGTGATAGGACTGGTTGGCCTGGTGTCAGAATAATGTGACTGTGTGGACATCATGCGACATGTCTGATGCATGATGCCCCAGGCAAGACATCACTATACACTGTCACACTGACGACATCGTAACGATATGACTGAAAAATTGTTAAAGCTACGTACAAATTCTAAATCACACACACACACACACACAAACTTAGCACATACATAAAATTTTTACCACACACATGCAATTAACCATTACAATCTTTACCTCACACATGTAAATAATCGTAAATTACGCATGGCGTGTATTAATGATTAAATTCAGTTACAAATTTCATTTATTGTGATTAAATTTCACAATCAACCACATGTCATGTTCATTAAAACAAAACTCATTTACACATATTTCCCCATTCATACTGTGTATCTTTGTCTCATATGCAATCGCACTGGAGACATTTTAGAATTTAGATATTGGATAATGAAAGATCGTTCTACTGCAAAATGCATTTTGGCTTACGGGATAGCGGTGGCGGTGGTGTGGGTGAAGATTCCAGCAAACGTTTATGCAAAATCTGAGAGATATTTATCAATGCTCAAATATATAGAATATAGCTAAAATATATGAACAGCATTCCAAGTAATAATGTTTATGATTAAAATAAACGTCATGGCAAGGATAAGCTTTTATCGTATATTAGCACCCAGTAAAGCAGCTGACATAATTCAGACAGATACAGTATTCACACGAAGATTTCATTGCAAATTGATGGAAGAAAATTGCTATGCAAATGATGCATTTGTAAACCAGTAAGTTACTAATAGAAAGGAATACAATTTCTATAACAATATCTAAGAGTTGTTACTATATTTTAGATGAATGTAAAAACTTATAATTTTTTTGAAACGGCAATAATTCACAAGAGTTAAATAAGTAATACATAACTTGTGAAATAAACATGAAAGACGTGTTATGTGTACTGTAATAAATACTGTATTCGAAAGAAAATCCCAGAGATCTACGCCTCATTTTACATACATAACTCTGCAGACTGACCATAACGAAATGGTTGCATTGCACCACCCTGCAGATTTACCATAACAAAATGGATGTGTATATTGCACCACCCTGCAGATGTACCATAACAAATGCTTGTGTATATTGCACCACTCTGCAGATAGACCATAACTAAATCATTGTATTGCACTACACTGCAGATTTACCATAACAAATTGTTTGTGCATATTGCACCACCCTGCAGATGGACCATAACTAAATAATTGTGTTGCACCACCCTGCAGATGGACCATAACAAAATGGTTGTGTATATTGCATCACCCTGCAGATGGACCATAGCCAAATTATTGTATTGCACCAGTTAGATGGACCATAACTAAATAATTGCAATGCACCAGCCTGCAGATGGAACATAACAAAATAGTTGTATTGCACCACCCTGCAGATTGACCATAACTAAATAATTGTATTTCACCACCCTGCATATTTACCATAACAAATTGTTTGAGTATATTGCACCACCCTGCAGATGGACCATAACTAGATGATTATATTGCACCACCCTGCAGATTTATCATAACAAAAATGGTTGTATATATTGTACCACCCTGCAGATGTACCATAACTAAATAATTGTGTTGCACCACCCTGCAGATGGACCCTAACAAAATGGTTGTGGAAATAGAATTGCCTTTTAACCCCAAAAATATATATATTCTTAGACTGGTGGTTGCATGCAGATAAGGAAGTTTTACTGCAATCAGGACATACTGCTTCATGCTTTTAAGCATTATATCATTGCAACACACTTCATCGGTGTATACATGAATAACAAATTCACAGACATACAAGTGCACGAGCATACCAAACCTATTACAAATTATCTGCAAAGACATTAAACCATATAACAAAGTATCACTGTCAATACCAATATACATATCAAATTTTAAATTTGCATTATCAAGATTTACAATCATTTTCTTTCTGACCGTGTAAAATGATTGTGTGTCTTTATTTCCAAACAATTAAAAGTGTTGATGACTTGATTGTGTAGAATTAAAAAGTTGTAATGACTAAACCTCTCGTAAAATCCGAGATTTTATCAGAGCTTATACAAAACCAAGTGAGTATGATGTGGAGGTTTTTACATTTCAAACATATAACTAGTTAAACTGCAAGCATGAAATTAGCAATCACGATGTCTTATCATCCGCGCAGACAAATTTAAAATATTAGTGGAAACAATGCCGTCACTAAAACATACATTTATGTTACGATGTATTTATATTACGAGAGTCATCTGAATTAAAATTCCTTACGAATTTCCTGACAGGTTTCATTTCCATCAGCGTGCAAGAAGCACAGGAAGGAACAGGTCTATAGTCTTCATATTAAAAAGGAAATAAATGTGTTCAGCAAAAGTATAAGAATAAACAGTGTGAGCATTTAAAAAATATATGATCGGGGCTTTTTCACACCAGTCAAGTTGTTATATTGTTATTTTGTTTTCGTGCGACCTTTCAAAAAACTCATCACAAATAAAATGAAACTTAGAACACAGGAAAAAAGAAAGGGTTCAGAAGAAACCTGTAAGTAATCACATTTCTTATAGACGAAAGTTACTTTACATAAAAATCTCTGTAATAATAACAACCATTTCTTTGTGCTGAAAACATTGACTATCACTCGACTTAGGTAGTCATTTAATCTTTACAAATAATATAACAGAATACCTACAGACGGTTTTATGTTAAGAGTCCATTACACAAAATAGTCCATGATTGTCTGCTTCAATCTAGCTTCTAAGGAAATGATATATGACAAGACAAAGAAAGTCAAGAATCCATTAAGCCAGACATAATCCATTAAAGGCTATTTCTTTCAAGTTTATAATGAAATCACAAAGTCCATCAGGCGAGGCATAATCCATGCGAGGCTATTTCTCTCAGAGTAATGATGAAACGATGTGCAACAAGATTATTTTAATTTATTTTTCCTACCTGATATGCAAAATGATCTATGCTGCATGTTCAATTTAAAGAAATTTTAATGATCAATAAGCGTCATGAATCTGAGAATTTAGACAAAGGTGTTCTAGAGTTGTGAATAAAATTTAATATGATGTTAATATGATGTTACAAACTAATTTAAAGATACTGACTAAACATCTATGCATTTGATACAAAATTGAACTGCATCGTATGATTAAGAAGAAAATGGTCAAAGTAACTCGGCCCGTGTAGATGTAAGAGATTGTCATACATTGAGATTTCTGGTGTATGTTGCAGCTATATCAGATAGTATATAATGAAGATCTTTCAAAGCCTGCTCATCCTCCATCCACATCAAATCTAAGCCAAATGCAAATCATTTTCGATTTTTGTCATCTTGGTAACACCGCTCTAGTTATCAAATATGTTTGGTGCAGACTTTTCATGTTCCAAATTGATAAGCGTGAAATTGTTTTCTAGATATGTTCTCGATACAGAAGATTATTTTGTTTGATTTGTTGTAATTAAATTAGTAAAATTCAATTAGATAACTATTGAATTGAACTAATACAACAATGAAACGAAAAAATATATATGAACTCCCATGCAAAGTGACAAAAACACGAATAGGATGAATGGATAAAAGACTCAAGACATATGTAATTAAGAATTTAGTATTTTAGTATTCATGTATGGATTGGAAAGGTAATTTCGCGTTACCATATTTGTTTTAATAAACGTCTCAGGGGTAGTGCAATTTCGAGAGGGAGCCGAATACTGTACATTGTTGTTTGACTGAAAATGTTGGTAAATTAAGTTAGACTACACATGTACTGTTTTAACTGTTTGGACATAATGTAATGGATATGTACGAATCTGTAAACCTTGATAAAGTAGGAATTTCGGTGTGGTGGAAGTTGGAAAATGGGTTTATGGGTATTAAAAGAAGCTTCGATTAGAATAAATACGATAGTTTATGTGACTGAACTTTCCATTATTGATGAATATCAAGTTAATTGGAAAAGAATGAAAATCTTATCGTAAAACATAATATATTTATGAAGACCTTTGGTAAGCGTAACAACATCTATTTTGGCTAGGCAATTCTCTGTACAGTCAAATGTGTCTGTAGAACAGCAAAATTTGATTCCATATTGGATAAATACAATGTATTAGATGAGGTCTTTTCTTCAAAAATAACACATTTTGTGACATTTCAGCAAGAGAAGTCTTTCGACGGGATCCACTCTATTCTCGTAGATTTCATGAATTGATGAGTCTGACACTCAAACCGAAATATGACAGCTAGAGATCAATGAAAGACGCTTTCTCGAAAAGAAAAAAAAATATGGCAGCATTTTTTGTTGTCAATTTCAATGCTGCATCATGTCAGTTGAGACCCAGTTTTTCGAAAGGATGCCCGATGGCATCCTTGCTAGCCAGATTCACTTTGTTAAATATCATTTGAAGCAAAGGAAATCTGCATCCTATGGCTAGCACATATGGTCCGATGATTATATGGAGCAAAACCGGAATAGACAGATGGGGGGGCGCTTTTCATGACGAAAATGGTGTAATGACCATTATATCACTTAATATATTAATTTTCACTTTATCTGATGTTTTATGCTGCTTGACAAAAGAAGAAAATTGAAGATGTGTTGTAGGGTTTTAGTTTCTCGGCAGGTTGTACAGTTTCCTTGGTTTTGTGTTGGGTTGTTTAAGTATTTTCCGAGGCTATCATGTAATTTGGTTTTTCCTGTCCTGATCCGATTTGTTAGGTAGTTGTGTTGGGAGTTTGGGAGAGATTTAAAAAAAAAAAAAAAATAAAAAAAAAAATAAAAAAATAAAAAAAAAAAAAATAAAAAGAGAGAGGAAAATCCTTAAAATATATTACCACTAATAAATAGAAATGGTCAGACGAAATGATCTATCCAAGCATCCAATAGG